GACTATACGATGACCCACGTTTGTCCCTTCACATCCAATGATAGGGCTTATTATCAATCAATGGTAAGTTAGTAATATCTAAGGAAGGAGGAAAAGAACTAAGACTTTTTGAGTAGGTATAACGTTCCTAGTTGCTTGCACACAATCATTCTTCAAAACATATTTCAAAAACACACCAACATTTTTAAACGAAATATTTTCAAAAGTCAACACTTTGTATGCATTCTTATAGAGACGAGAATCATTACAAAGTTTTCCTAAACAAAGGCACTTTTCAAAAATAGTTTCAAAACCAATCATTATCACATTTCAAGCAAAGCATTTTAAAGTGAGCTAACAACTAAGAGCCCGTAGATAACTACAGATGAAAAATGTGCCAATACCTTCCCTTTTCATAACCTACCCCCCAAACTCAAAGAAATTATCAAAAGGTATTTCCTGTTCTTTTCACCCATTCCTTTATTGGATAAAAGAAAATTTAGTGGCGACTCTTGCTATCCGCAACAATTGTGATAAAACCCAAAACACCCAAGTCAGTTTCCCCACCGTATTACAAGTTGGAACACACAATTCATGTAATCCATAAAGACAGCAGGAGCATTGGTCACTCAAAACAACATAACCTAGAATTCATAATGATCATATCGCATCCTAAACGCGGTCTTAGATACATCCAAAATCTTGACCCAAATCTGATGATATACTGACCTGAGATCAATCTTCGAGAATACGCAGGCTCCTTTCAACTGATCCAGGAAGTCATCAATTTGTGGTAAAGGATACTTGTTCTTTATGGTCACCTTATTAAGTTGGTGATAGTCAATGCACAACTGCATACTACTTTCCTTCTTCTTAACCAACAGAACAGGAGCACCCCATGGAGAAACACTAGGTCGAACAAAGTGTTTCTCCAATAAATCTTCTAACTAGATCTTCAAATCCCTCAACTCTGCAGGAGACATTTTGTATGAAGAAATAGAAACTGGAGCGATTCCTGGAACAAGGTCAATAGAGAACTCAAGTTTTATTTCTGGAGGAAGAGAAGTGACATCCTCCAGAAACACATCAGGAAATTCACACACAACAGGAATCTCAGACACACTTTTCCTATCTTCAGAATCCGTAGTGAGAAGACTTTTCTTGAGTAAAAAGGCAATTGACTATGTTAATCGTACCTTCAATCAGGTTACCAATAGCATCAACCAGAGTGGTCGCCTCGACTGGAATGAAGATAGCTTTTTCTTTAAAACCGATGTACACTGACTTAGCTGTCAACCAATTCATTCCTAAAATTACATCGATCTTCTTAAGTGGCAAGTAGATAAGATCAATCGAGAACCTACATCCATTAAAAGTAATAGAGAAATCCTTGCATATTTTCGAAGCCTCAACTACATCATCCGTAGTAGACGAGATAATCATAAGATTATAATGAGTGGTGGCTTTGAATCCGAGCCGTTGCACACATGAATTAGAAATGAAAGAATGTGTTGCTCCACAATCCACTAAAACAAACATAGGTTGACTATTAAAATAGCACGTACCATAAAAAATATTTGTGTTTCCTTGAGCCTTCCTCACATCCAAGGTGTAAACACGACCTACAGTCTTCTCATGTGTCTCTCGAGTAGGGCAATCTTTCACAAAGTGACCTGTCGATGTGCACCTATAACACTTCTTTGGGTCCCCCATGCAATCTCCGGTATGACTTTTCTTGCACTTGTTACACTGAAGAGGTTGAGTTAAACGATTACCATAATCTTTCCTCCTAACTGGAGGAGAATTGTGAGGTTTCAGATATTGCCCCGACTTCCCTTAATCCTTACGCAAGGATCAGTTTTGCTCCATTACTTCTTTAACTCTCTTCAAACTATTTTAGGTAACATGACATTGCTTGAAACACTCAACATAAGGGGAGAATTCCCTTTGAGATACACTGTGGGTAATATCAGCATTTAGCCCAAACATAAATCGGTCGATCTTCCACAATTCATCTGGTGCATAGATAGCTTTCCTGGAGTAGGAAGCCATGTCCTCAAATTTTTCCGCATACTCAGACACCGACATGCTGCCGTGTTTGAACAACTGGAACTCTCTTTCCTTATGGGAACGTAGGGTGTTGGGGTATTATTTCTCTAGAAATGTTGTCTTAAAATGCTGTCAATCTCTCGGAATCATCTGAGAAGTGAAATAGGTAGATGCAGTATCCCAACACCTACTAGTTGAACCCTTCAACATTTGAGCAGCAAACATCACCTTATCATCTCCAGTGTATTGGATATCCTTGAATACCCTCTCTATACTATACAACTAATCATGAGCATCAACTAGATCTAAGCTACCCAAGAACTCTAGAGGTTTCATTCTGAAAAAGGCACAAAAATATGGACGTGCTTCAGCTTGTGGTACGGGAGCGAGAGCGTCTGGTTGTTTCCTGTGCATATTCTTCATCATCATCTTATTATGTTGTGGCATATGTTGAATCATCTGTAACCAGGGCACATTAGCATCTCCAGTTTCAGCCCCAGGCTCCATATTCTTAGTCATGGGCCTTTCGGGACATCTGCGTCCATCAGCCATCTTCATGTTTGTCCTACACATAGAATGAATTTGATCAGGCTCAATGACATAAGTAGAACATAAGGAATCATGCCGACTATTACACATATGAGGCAAAATTGAGCTGACTTATGATGTTTCATGGTAAAGCCGGGAATAGACCAGGCTCTGATACCAACTGTAACACCTCACACATACATTGCCTAGGATATATGCATATGATATTAATATGGCACGTAAAACATTCATACATAAGCAGCGGAATAGATATAAGTATTAGTACGAGTTATAAATTTATCCGGAAACTATCATGGCCAAAATATAAAAATCCCAATAAGTACAAATACATAATCCAAGTTACATAGATTGAAAATACAAAAAGAGTAGAATAACACCAAGAACATCACCGACAAGCTAAGCCATCATACCCTTGCCTCGATCCTGCCTCGAACTACCCGAAAAATGATAATTGGAATGAGGTGAGATTACTAAATCTCAGTGAGCCTCCCTATCTTAAGGGTTCACTCAGTACTATAGGGTGCATGCATCAGAACGGATTCACCAAGAACCCAATGTTTTATCTCATAGTTGGGTGAAAATACACAAAAATAGTACATCACCATTGGAAGTCCCATAAATAACCAATGAGGCAACAAGAAAACATCTGGCACAAAGGCCACAACTAATCGGCACAAGGCCCGACACAATGGCCACAACAATATGCAGAATCGTACCCGTGTATGAGAAATCTAGAAGTATGTTCTATCTGCTCAGTAGACTACACATTCACACCCTCGATGAGTTACTCTCATGCATCGCATCAAGAGACTTGTACCATCACATTGCATGATGAGTCATATCATTCCTAATTGGAATTCCATCTACGACGAGTTAAACTCTGAGGTGACATTTCCTATGCAACGTCTCCTCCCCGTCTATCATCACACCTGCACGTGTGAGCCTATTCGGCACAAAGCCAACATTAGTTTCAAAAACACCGTCTTGAGAACACGAGTCCACCGGGAGAAAGCCTAATGGTTTTGCCTACATGGAACCATTAGAGGTGAGTTAAGCTAAGGATTACCTATGTGGCAATTTTCCTTCCCACCATACCAAGCACGCCGATGTGATCTCCACAAGCGGGGAAACACCCCAAAGGACCCCTAACTGCACATTGCAATGGTAGCTCAAGTGTATATGAGATACCCGGAATATACAACAAGGTATCCCATAACACACAACAAGGCATAAACTAAAGAACATGCAACATTAGTCGTGGCCATAAGTGATTCACCATCTATTAGCAGGCCTACTTCAATTCAAGCATATATCATGCAATCAAGCATATCAAGCCACACAAGCAAATACATCTAAATATTCATCCGGAACAACGGGAAACCATAATTGTTCTAATCAATTCATGCATCACATAATATATTATAACCACAATATGTATTAAGCTTAAATAGAATTCATGAACATTCCAAGAGCATAGATAACAGTACATTATCCTTAGACATGCATACAGTATCATTAGATATTTACTAAGGCGATTAGTTCCCGATTTCGGAACATTTCTGCACTTGGGGAGAAAATCATATAGTTCTATCAGGCCAAGTTCGCTAAGAAAACTTGTAGATAAGCCTCGATTCCCTAAGTGAGCTAGTAGCGAGCTCCAGCGAATGAACTCAGTAGCTTCAGCCAATTCATATAGGCAAAGTTTGCTACGTGAACCTCCAACGAGTGCCTGATTCACTAAGCGAAATAGTAGCGAGTAATTCATTTAATTCTTTCCTTCAGTCCCAGACCGTCGCTATGTGAACTTTGTATAGAAGGATACCTCACTAAGAGAATCATAGTTTGCTGAGAGAACTTTGTTGCATAAATATCCCTTTAAGTCTCAGACCTTCACAAAGCAAACTCTAATGCGTTCTAAAAAAATCAGAAAACACATAATTCAGTCTTGGGTCCCCAAGACCCTACATTTTCACATGCAATTCGAAATGAGAAACATACATGTCAAAATAGGGATGCATGAACATATTATTACAACATTAGAGTCAGAATCATGCATTATCAAGGATTATGATGCATATATCACTAAAAACCTTTCCTCCCTACCCCATAATAGTATTTCCCCCCAAGTTTCTTTTCTAATGAGACTCGCCTTAGAAATTGACGATGAAGAAGCTGCAAATTAGAACAAGAAGGATGATAAACTAAGAGATAAGGAATGATCTTAGGACATGCAAGGTTGAAAATCTATTTTTTATACAATATAAAATGAGATTCACACAAAACAACCCCTTATGTTTTCATTTAATTGGCAAAAGACCAATTTATCCCCTAATTATATAGTAACGAATAAGATTCCCCCTTTTTCAATTCCAACTAAACAAGAATTTTCTCATAATCTCATATTAATCGAATTTAGAGATTAAATGGGATATTACACTAAACCTTTTTGTTTCAATAATCACTGGCTCAATCATCCTCGGTTATCGGAAGTGGTCCATAATAGTTGGTCTGGATCTCTTTCCTCCAGGTGGAAAGCTTTTATCCTCAAAGAGAAACTTAAAGCCCTTAAAGGGGCCTTGAAAGTTTGAACCATAGTGAGTTCAGCAATCTTGATTCCCATATTGAGTCTCTTAGGGAGGTTGTGAGTTCTCTTGATCTGAAAGTTGAGCAGGGTGTTATCTTTGATGCAGTGATGGAGGTTAGGGATAAGGCTTCCTTAGATCCCTGGTCCCTCCTTCGCACCAAGGACTCCCAATTAATCTAGAGGTCTAGAGCCTTATGGCTTAAGGAGGGAGATGCCAACTCGAACTTTTTTCATGCTTGTATTAAGAGTAGGAGTAGGAGGAATGATATCCTTGCCTTGAAGACTAGATAAAGTTGGGTTGAAGGAGTCTCTGGACCCGTCAGGTTGTCTTTGATCACTTTTCTGATCACTTTAGAGAACCCCTTATTTTGGTTGATGACACTATTGTTAATCTTTGGACCATAAAGGCCATTCTTCGTGGTTTTGAACTTGCTTCGGGCCTTCAGGTGATTTTTTCAAAGAGTTCCCTTATTGGGGTAAACTCTGGTCATGCCTTCTTAGATCTTTCCCGTGAGTTTCTTCATTGCGAGAATGAGTCCCTTCCTTTTAGGTACCTTGGGCTCCCGATTGGCGTAAACCCTCGTCTTGCGTCTACGTGGGATCCTCTAGTTAATCTCTTATCTAGAAGGCTCATGTCATGGAAACATAGGTATATGTCTCCCTGGGTGGGAGAGTGATCCTTCTTAATCATGTCATCAATGTCATTATTATCTTCTTTCTTTCATCCTGAAGATTCTTGTCAAGGTTTGGAAGAAATAATGAAGATTTAGAGGAGGTTCCTTTAGGGAGAGGTGAAGGGGGTTTCTAAGATTTCCTGGGTTAATTGGGTGGATGAGTGTAAGCTTAAGAAGCTTGGGGGTTTAGGTGTCTGCAGCCTTAGATTGGTCAACTTAACCTTCTTGGGAAAGTGGAGGTGGAGCTTGCTTTTGGGGGCTACTGGTATTTGGCGTGACATCATCACTGCCAAATATGGTGTTTCCCTTACGACTTATATCTTAAGTGGGCGAGTCAGTTGCCTCCGTTCGGCTTTGCCTTAGTGGAGGGGGTTTCCTTCTCGGGGGTACTTATGATGATTTTGATGTCTGCTTCAGGTATGCTCTCTCCTTAAGATTTGGTTCTGGCTCCCTCACCTCATTTTGGAAGAATACTTGGGTAGGTGATTCTTCACTTCATCTTAGATTCCCGAGGCTTTTTCAGCTATCTGAGCAACCTTTTAATTTTGTTAGAGAGGTTGGTAGTTGGGATGGCGAGAGTTGGGTCTGGGAGCTCAAGTGGAGAATATCGTTTCTTTTTTATTACGAGTTGGCTCTTTTTATCGAGTTTCAGTCTGTGCTTAGAAACTTCACCCCTATGTTGATAGAGATGAGTATAGGTGGAGTAAGTCAAGCGATGAGGCTTATTTTGTGCCCTCTTCCTACTCTTGCCTGTCGAATCATGTGTTTCCCCCAGGTAGCCTTGTCTCTACTGTTGAGCTTGTTGTCCTGACTATTTGGAGTAGTTGGGCCCCCTCAAAAGTCATCATTTTCTCCTAGCAGCTTCTTCGGGACTGTATCCCGACCAAAGAAAACTTACTTAAGAGGGATGTCCTTTCGACCTCTGGGACTATCATTTGTCCCTTTTGTTCTATTCATATTGAGTCGACCTCCCACCTCTTTGTGACTTGTGAGGTTACCTCCACTGTTTGGTATTACATCTTTAGGTGGTTTTGGTGGTCGACTCCTTTACCTAAAGATAGTTTGATCCTTTTTCAGATGTTTCTTATTTTTATTGGTGGTCCTAGGACTAGAGGGGGTTGAGGATGATCTAGCATGACATGATTTGGTCTATTTGGAAATCTCGGAATGATATTATTTTTTCAAGAGCTTCGGTGGCACCAAAAGTTGTGGAAGACTCGGGTATTTTTTTAGCGTGGAATTGGTACATTGGTAGGTCCGAGGTAAACTCTCGTGTTTTCTCTGATTGGATTGAGGATCCTATTATGTGTCTAAACCAATAGCAGGGTGAGTGGTCTAGACTTTCATTGATTGTGTTCTTGTTGTTTCTTTTGTGGTTGGTATTCTTCAGGTGCCTCGGTTGGAGAGGTCTAGCTTCGATTGATGCTAGAGTTTTTTTGTATGTTTTCTTGTTTTAGTTTTTATTGTGGGTTGTTGTTTCTCTGGTGGTTTGGTTTTTTCTCAATGTATCTGTGTCTTATTTTCAATTCTGAATTAATACTTCTTGTGTCCTTCTTAGATCTTTATATTGATCGTAGAACCTTCAACTTTACTTTTATATATATATATATATATATATATATATATATATATATATATATATATATATATATATATATATATATATATATATATATATATATATATATATTAGATCTTTATATTGGTCGTAGAACCTTCAACTTTACTTTTATATATATATATATATATATATATATATATATATATATATATATATATATATATATATATATATATATATATATATATATATATATTATTTTTCTTTCAAAAAAATGCATACGATCTTCTTCTTGATAATTATTTGATAATGCGATAGTTGCAACAAATTTGAGCCTATCAGACTAGAATAATATTATATCTCTAAAAGATTATTCAATATGCACTAAAATTAACTAATTTGTGAGCATCAATATTTGTTTGTCTCTTAAAAAAAAAACATAACCGATAAATGTGGACAATAGTTTAACAAATGAAAATTAGAAATTAGGAATCTACTATAAACTCAATATAGTCTTACACCACATGGTCCATTTAACTTGAGAATGATGATTAGCCTTAATAAAAAGGTGCCTCCGAAAAATCGTTAATATGGTCCTTTCAAAAAAACATTTTGATGATGTTGAAGAAAATATATGATTCTAAAGAAACAAATATCAAACATATTTATAATGCACAACACAAATAAGAGATCTTATCATGGGTCGGGTCCAAATATTGGAAATGTAACATTTGATGAAATATATGGTTAACATTTGATAATCAACAATGAAACATGACATTTTCCAGACCGTTTGAATTCCATTAAATTGTTTAGCATTTGTTACATTGTTTTGGCGATGAATTCCCCATATAAAACGCACAAGCAGTGCAACTGTTAATTGAATTTGCCAATGTTATTTCTACTGAGACGACATGCTCAATAGCATTTTCTTTTAAAATTTTGAAGAAGGAAGAAAACAATATTTAGGCTTTAGAGAGGTGTTGAGATTTGTGGAAATCTATAGAAAATTATCCTGATGTAATTGTGTGTGACGGGGACAATTTTTGGATGAATTTTGTTTCTAAAGTTTTCCGTAAGTCTACTGCTCTCTATGTTGGTTGGTATCAAAGTTCTAAATAAGTTAGAGAAAAATGTAAGTTGGATCACAATCCTCTTCTTTAATCACAATCCTCTAATATCTTAACTGAATTACTAATTAGTTAAGGGTATATCAAATATTAATTTTTACAATCATAATTAAGTTCTGGATTGGGCTTACCCTTGACCCAACTCCACGTGAGGTCCAATTCACGTCGGGCAGAAACTTTCACTCCCCGTAAGGAAGCGACCTCACTGTACGGGTGAAAATCCAGTTAGTCTCAGGGAGCTCGCACACCGGTCAGAATGATCTCGAGGACACCCTCGGATCCTCCTCGACCAAGCCTTATCCCCTCACACGACCTCGCGTCTGACGGGGAGCATTCACGACGAACTGAAGCATCTCACGAGCATCCTCCTCGTAGGGATGACTATCAACGTCTATGAATATCACAGAGTCTTCGTGGTCTCGGAAAGACCGCATCCATATCCTCCTGATCTTGCGGAGGAAGTCATTCAGGTGGGAGACCACGTGCGAGTCCCCACTACTCACGTAGGACCTGGAAGTCTCCACTTTGGGCCTGCTTGATCATCCCAATGAGGAAATCTTAGCCCAGTGCTGGGGGCTATAAATACCCTCTCTTTCGATAGGGTCAGGTATTGAACATTTCTTACTCTCTTACTTGCTTGCTCATTTCGAAACTTACTTTGGCATCAGAGTGTCTTGTAGGTACTCCCCCACTTTACTCTCAAGTTCTGCTCGACGTAAGCTGTGACGGTCAATTCTGGTCAGCTACGATCAGTGGCGGCATCTGTGAGAAATTTTCTTCCCCGTCTTCCATTCACACGAGACAAAAGCTAATTCAACTACTTAATTACTGTCATGGCTGATCACACGGCAGAAAACAACAACGTCGCCGACGTCAACAACAATGTCGCCGACCACAACACTGACGTCAACAACGCTAGTCACGCTGGCCTCAATATCTATAAAAATAACAACATCGATAACAACAACGGCTACGCCGGTGATATGCTTGACCCCTCAGAGTACAGACACGGGTCGACTTCCTCTTCGTCGACACTGTCCCGACGACTTGAAGACGATCGTCGTCCTCTCCAGAACAACCATCCACCCGCGTTCCTGGAGGTCCCCGTTCCCGTGAGTGCTAATGCCACGACAAAGGCATTGCTCGCGGAAATAAATCAAACAATTTACTTGATCTTTTCCCAAGGGGAGAGATTAAGGGCGCTCATAGATTCTCGGAGAGCTTCCAGAAGACATAGGAGGCCTCATTGTCCTCCTCCTCGTCACATAGAGGACCGTCCCCAATCTCCTCTACAGAGACGCAGATGGGATTCCTCTCGAAGCCCCTCTCTTCGACCAATCGGATGATGCCCCATGTTGGAGAGGGACCAACCCGTAGATACGGGGAGACGTGATCATATCCCCGCGCGTCAAGAGCAAAGACCCTCTAAAAACAGGAACAGGGGAAATAACGAATAACCGCACCGCTCGAGGAATCCTCCGCGTGACCAGGGCCGCCACTGCGACCGTCATTACAACAGGTATCCTTCTCGATCTCCAGACAAAAGCGATGGAGTCGATCCCTACGGTCCTCTATCTCAAGCTATTATGGAGGCACCCATCCCCCCGGGTATGGAGAAACCTCCACATCTAAAGGAGTACGATGGTATTGTCGACCCAGTCGACCATATCGATGGGTTCAAGGCAATGATGCATTATCATAATATTAGGGGACTGATCAAATGCCGGTTGTGCCCCACGACTTTGAGAAAGGCTGCGATGGACTGGTATAAGAGCCTCGCCCCGAAGTGAATTACCTCCTGGAGAAATTTAAAAAACCAGTTCATCAGTTTATTCACTACTTCATGTCGAGTTCCAAAGACTGAAGTGGCCCTCAAGGTAATCGTCCAGAGACACGACGAGACCCTTTGGGAGTTTATTGATCGATTCAACCGTGAGGCAATTCAGGTCCCCTGCACCGATCATATGAAGAGATACCTGTTCGAGAGGGGACTCCTCCCGGGCACAAAGTTCATGTAGGTGTTTAGGTATTGGCTTGCATTTTTGGTAAATCCCAAGTGTATGTGTGAATGTCATGACTGATGTCATAACATTCTAGTTCAGTTTGTACTGACTCATTAGGTACCTTTGCAGAAAAATATTGTAATTCAAATACTGATGTTTATAAGTGTGTATCTGAGCTTTTTGCAAAATGATCACATTTTGCTAAATCAGTAGACAGGTTTTCTCAGATGTCATAACAGATGTTATGACATCCTGTTCTGAACTAACAGGATTGCAGGATTGGATAAGTCTGAGTTTTTTTTAGGAAATAACTCAGTCCTTCCTGAACAGAATCCTGCGTTTTCTGAGGGGTAATCTAGCTCAACCCTAACCTGGTTAATAAAGTCCTGTGACCTGGTCTTTAGGTCAAACGTAATTAACCCTAGGTTTTTGGAAACCCTAACTAAAGTTGCAGCTGCTATATATTCAACAGAGCTGCTGTTTTTCATGGATGGATTTTATTGATTAGAAGATCATTTGTAATCTGTATAGATTTGATTATTGTACTCCAAGCAATTATCATTGTGATAAGCGCCTTGGAATAGGTTTCTAATTGTAAGGGTTGTGTAGCACTCTAAGCTTTGAAGCAAGAGTGTTTGAATGTTCCTTGACTAAAGCTGTGAAGCAGAGTCAAGTTAGTTGTGTACATCACTCAAAGCTGTGAAGCAAGAGTGATTGTGTTGCTTGATTAAAAAGCTGTGAAGCTTAATCAAGTGTTTGTTTTTGAAGAGTGTCTTCATCAATTCTTAAGTCAAATTGGTTTATGTATCACTGCTGTGATTGAGGGGGAGTGAGTAGGAACTCAGGTTTAAGTTGTACTTAGATTGGAATTGCATTGGGTAGGTCTTAAGTGAAGGAGATAAACTGGTTGGTTTATTCCTGAATTAAAATCTCTTATAGTGGATTTCCTCCCTGGCTTGGTAGCCCCCAGAGTAGGTGTTGTTGCACACTGAACTGGGTAAACAATTTACTGTGTTCTTTATTGCTTTTGTATTTACTGTCATATAGTAAGTCAGATACGGTGTCATAACATTGAACATGACATTGAGTATCTGCAGCAAGAATTTCAATTGGCATC